AACGTGATTGAAGCCTCAGAAGAGTACATCCTTAACTACCAAATGTTTTCATTATCAACACTGACCTGGTAATATTGGAGTATTTTAGACAAATCTTTTCATACAAATTGTTTCCTTATCAAAAACTGCTTTCAAAGGTGATTTCTAAACATGCTCCTTTTAATTTTTTGGAGTAGCAATGATTTTTAAGCAGCAGTATAACTTCTTTTTTTTAACCTTATGAAAAAAACATAATATAATTTAACAATCTATCTATCCTAGCTGGTTTCTATATACTGGAGAACTCCTTCAATCTATAAAGAATATGTTAGGATGCAAATAGAAATGTAAGCCACAGATAAACAAATACATCCCCAAACCTCCCATATAAATGGTAACAATAATATCCACTCACACATACGCACGGTGATAACAATGTGTGACAAGTTTGAGAGAATTTTGTTTATGATTAATGAAACATTCTGGACATAATGTACATCTAAATCAGAACAAGAGTGCACAACTATTCATAAGGAGTGTATTGCTAAACGGAAATAGGAAGTACATCCCTAGTTGAAAATCCAATGTAGGGAGACAGTATTACAATTTCCGCATATTCTAATGTTTAATATTAAACTGATGAATATTGTATGCTTATTATTGACAGAACAGTGTGTTCTTTCAATATTAAGTATTGCAAAGCAATCCAGGCATTAATTCAGTTGTTTTCAAATTAATGAGTCACATGTGTCCATTTTTCTGTACTTCAGGAAACCGGCTACCTATTTCACTGCTGTGAAGTTTTTCAAGAATGATAACTCTTGCATGCAATTACTATGTGTATATGGTTTTATTATAAGATGTCAATTTTTAATCGTTTATAGATGATTAATTTTACACAATTTCAGCATTTATGAAATTGATATACATTAATGCAATACTAATCTATGTTATTATCATTTTTATTGACATTATTTTGCCCAAAAAATGTGTGTTTCAATTTCTTTTTCAAAATTCAATCCTTTTTACATAAATTTCCATTTAAAATCCTTAAAATTCTGACAACTTATATTTTTTTGTGGCAGAAAATTTTCTTTACTTCAAAGCAATTTAACTATAAAATTTGAATAGATTCTTATGAGAAATGGCGACACAATCCTATTACCTTAATTCAGTTATTGAATTTAATGCGTAAAAATCAAATAGGTATTCAGCATATCAAAATCCAACAGTAATTCCAGGGGAGCTATCTTTTTAATGTTCTGCACTGTGACACTTTGTGGTCCCATCCTCATCCCATTGTTAAGTCAGCCCCTTCAGCAGTATATATTCTGATCCCTACCACTGGCTGATAATTACCACCAAAAACTGACACACAATTTCTGAGGGAGTCCAACAAAATATGGTTGTTTACAGCCAATGCATCAAACACAACACAGCCAACAAGAGCTGTTAGAGAACAGCATAGCTCGCCTATGTGTGTTATTATAATGCTGCAACTATCAATAGAAACACATGTACAGTAAAACGTTGATATAGTGCCTGTCATTTTATTTGCCACCTCACTTACCACCAGCATATTTCAAGGACCGTTAATTGTGTTTTTCTGAAGAATCCCTTTATATGTTTCCTTCAATTTATTGTTAAACCCTTTTATAATGGCAACATGTCTTTGCAGTGTACCTTAACATGTTGTACATTAAAAAAGAACAGATGACCAGAGAACGTGAAATGAGGAGCTCGAGACTCAGTATTTTAAATCAATTTACATGTTGCCGAGTCTCCCCATTTTATGTTGTCTGGTCACCTGTTCTTTTAAATGTATTACTGTTATGCCGGATAAGTAAATTCCATAGAAATCCATCAATTGGGGTATGCTAAACTTCACTGAACATACCAAGAGCAGGCTTGGATCTCCACCTCTTTTGTATATGTTGTACATTTGTAGGTTGCTAATCTGGTTTTGTTAGTTTGAGAATAAAGTTTTGTTGAAGATAACGTTGGTGAACCATAAAACTTTAACCAAGTCCAATAAAGCTGTTTATGGCCCCTAAAATATGAAAATATGGCTGAACACATTGCTTACACTCAATACATATACTGCAACCTTATAATAGACCATAGCCTATTGATGGTGGTGGTCCAACACTACCCCAAAAAACTTGCCCAAAATCTTCAACCTCAAGCTTACCAAAAAACTTTAATCAAGTACAATAAAGCTGTTTTTGGCCCCTAAAATATGAAAATATGGTTGAACACATTGCTTACACTCAATACATATACTGCAACCTTATAATAGACCATAGCCTATTGATGGTGGTGGTCCAACACTACCCCAAAAAACTTGCCCAAAAACTTCAACCTCAAGCTTACCAAAAAACTTTAATCAAGTACAATAAAGCTGGTTTTGGCCCCTAAAATATGAAAATATTGCCCAGAACATCGCTAACACTCCATATAAATACTTCAACCTTATAATAGACAACAGCCTATTGATGGTGGTTGTCCAACACTTCACCAAAAAACTTGCCCAAAAACTTTAACCTCAAATTTAACTAAGTCCAATTAAGCTGTTTTGGGGCCATAAAATATGAAAATATGGTCCAGCACATTGCTTACACTCAATATAAATGACTTAATCTCTTAATAGACAACTGTGTATTGAGTGTGATGATCCAACACTGGAAAAAACTTGTTACCTCCGAAGGTGGGACGCCGACGCCGTGGTGACTACACTAGCCCCCCTATTCTTTGAATAGGCGAGCTAAAAATGGATGAAACAAAAACTAAAGGTGAATAGCAACATGTCATCAGGTCAAGTGTACCAAGTTTTAATGAAAGAGGACTAACAGTTCAGGAGGATCAGAATCATTAAATACATGCAGTACCTATGTCTGGATCAACAGATAGGCCCATCCATTGATGGACAATCTGAGTCCAGTATTCCACACTTTGCTGTAGGAGGAATAATAAATAAAGGCCTGTGGTGTTGCTATACAGTTAAGGAATTTGTGAAATGCAAAAGAAAACAGTTAACAAGGAGGTGATAAACAGTTAGATGTTATAGTTAACACCTGCACATATCTGATGTACACAATTATAGTAATAAATTATGTAAATATCCTGTCATCTAAATCTTCATTTTATTACTCCACCCAAAAAACACTCATTAATCCCAGAGGCAATATAAATTAAACTAGAAATATGTCAAACTGACATTAATGCCACTGTTGTCTGTTACAAATTCAATGAAATACATAGTAATAAATAGTTTTACACTTTTGAAAACTTTTCCTAAACATACAGTAAATGATTGTTCAGATAGCATACGCTGTAGGAAGACTTGGACTTGCTTGAACAGAAATGTTTATAATATGACGATGGAGCATATTGAACAATCAATACACAGTGTGTATTCTGATATATTAGCTGAATAAATTGATATTAGGAAATGAGTGTCAATGAACTACAATTGAATGAGTATAACAATTGAATGAGTATAACAATTAAATGAGTATAACAATTGAATGAGTATAACACATGAAATAAAATGTTTTAACATTGCCTTTTTAAAAACATTAAAAACTTTAAGGTTAAACAATACCAATGCATAAGTCATAAATACACCAAAGAGTTCCACTGAGCTGATAATTTTAGCATTCTCCTTTACATATTTTAAGATGAAACAAACAAAAGGAGGTGGGTTTTTTTACACAGAGTGACTTCCCTTGTCAAGGTCCATAAGTTGGACTTTCATTTTGATGTTGTGCAGAATTGACAGTACAATTGTTCTGAATCTGACACTTGCAAATTTTTATTTATTTTTCTTTTCTAATTTCAAATATTCAGAGAGAAGTCTGCTAAGCAAAAGTCAACCTGAAAATAGGGAAGGAGTTGTGGAAAAGGATGGGGAGTATAGACAGGTGATGTGGAGAGGGATAAGAAAGTATATGGGGGTGGAGAGTACATCATAATAGGATGGGCAATGTGATGTAAGTAAGTAGTTCAGTACTGAGGACATGGAAAACAAGGGAAAGGACAGGATGTGTGGACGGATGTTACATAAACTGGCAAACTGTTAGAGGAAGTGCCCACTGTGGTCTGTGGTAGGTTTTTACAATCTTGTCAGGATATTATTAGGAAGATATTAACACATCACAGCTCTCACAGAAATATATTAATCTGAAGAAGAAATATGGGTGCTACATTAGCATATATGTACATATACTATTATAGTGTCTTTCCTTGTCTTTTGTAACACTTGTGTGACATTCAAGTGTGATATCATATGCTCTACTGTATAATTTTAGCATATCTAATTTGAATTGTTGTCCTGTTTTTAAATTTATATATATTCATAAGTACTGTGATCCTTGTTAAATTTTATATATGTTTTGTCGCAAGAATAGCACTACAGTGCTAATGTCATTATGTCACATGTATATGCGACGTTAAATAAAGCTTCTTGACTCTTGCGGGACAACAGAATCAGTTCTTTTTCTACATGTACAGTAATTGTATATATTATCATTGGGTAGGGATCTCAACCATTTCCATGTTATGACCCAGGGACTAACTCCATAAATACAAGGACAGACCCCAATGCTAATCCTTGTAGAATATCTTTGTTTTATTTTCATGCCCAGCAATTGTATATGGTTATAGGGTAGAGATCTCAACTGTTTTCATGTCGTGACCTACAGATTAAGTCCCTAGGGGCAGTGCCAGACCCCAGATTCAATTATGTTAGCATGCCAGCAAGAGAATGGCAGACCCAGAAGAAAATCCAGGTAGGATTCCTACATTCATGTCTTCCTACTCAGCAAAAATGGTTATAGAGTTGGGATCTCCCACCATGTCCAAGGTTGAATCCTCTTTTCTGTGTTATTATATGAAACCTTCTGCCTGTTAGTTGTTTTTTTTTAATAATATGGATATGAAACAATCTGTTCTTAAGGTAAGTCTGGCTTTATTCAACCATACAGAACACTGGACAGATCTGTAAACCATGTATGTATTACCTGTTGCTGTTGTGTAAGACTCTGGAATTGGGCATTCAGATTTTGTTCGCTCTGTTTGATTTGCTGCTCCATCACCTGTTGATGCTGGGCAATCTGTTGCTGCAAGGCTGTGATTTGCTGGCTGAGCTGTTGTGAGGGTTGCCATGGCGCTGTCTGAATGGCCTGCTGGGTAACCACCTGTTGGATAATGACCTGCTGCTGAACTACCTTCTGCTTTTGCTGATTAAGCACTGAAAAAATATAATAAGGATTTCATAAGGACTACTGCTGGTCTTAAATAAACATTTCTGGTAAAACATGACATGCTGTACATCAAAACAATGTTATATTGTCAACATTCGCCCATGACCTCTTTTGTTTTTGAAAATGTTCAGGCAACACACATAATTTGATAAATATTCTGTCAAAAACAAAATCACATGGACAGGAAGTGGGTCACCCTAGTAGGCAGAGCTCAAAGTGGACAGTTCTAGAGATGTGTGTCAAATATACAGCAACAGACCAGGAATTCGATGTTCTTCTTTAATCCTAAAATGTTATAAAATTACCTGTACCTAAAAATATGTCAAAATCAACCATGTTTATGCAGAAATACAACAAACAAGCAATAGTCAGCCTTTTAGATTTGGCAAGGCAGAACTGGCCCCTTGATCTACCTGTGACAAATTTTTCGGAGGTCAGCCTCTGCCTCTCTCTGTGAATGTCATTTCTTTCAAGCCTCCTTGTTAAAGGTATATGAGACATTAAATGTGCAGTACCAATTAGCTATGAGGCAAATAAAACAAAAGCCTAGTATCATCATACTGTAGTTTCCATCTTCAGGGACTTTATCATCTTACAGTCTGGATCCAAGAGGCTCAGGAAATTATCCTTTTATCAATCAGATCATTGTATTCAATCTGTTTTACAGTAAAAGGTTCAATTATGTAAGTACTGGTATAACTAGAAATGAACCATCAGCATTTGTCGTGGAGTGTCAGGTAAATAAAAACAACTCTTGTGTTAGAATGGAGGTAGCGTGGGATTCCTTAATGTTCCTGGTATAATCTATTTTTACCACCTTGGAGGGACCATTAATGTTCCTGGTATAATCTATTTTTACCACGTTGGAGGGACCATTTATCCAGAGTAAAAGGTTGATGCCCACCTAATTATTAGTTGATATAAATTATAAGTTATTGTAATTATTTGGTCTCGGGTATTCAACCATTTTAATTATGTGTATAATACGGTGCAAATATTAGCTCCATGCTTCTCCTATTTGTGGACCTCTTCACAGATATTTATTTTAGTGGTTTTACGTTTGAGCTTCACTACCTAGTAGTTCCGTTATCTAGTAGACAGAAACATATCTCATGTCTGCATGCAAATGAATTTAAAATCAGCATAAAATTATATATAACTTTGCTATTCTTACCCCAGGGTATAAAGATTAAAAGTCTGTCTCAATGCAGCATACATCGCCAATATAAACAGTTTTTAATCTCACATATTTTAAATTCTAAAACAGCAAATCATTGTAAACGAGTCAAAATGTAATAAATCTGTTGATTTTGAAAAATTACATGATGTGTCAGAACTTGGATAGGAGACAACAACAGGTCAGGGACCCTAATTTATACCCAATACTTCACCACTGTACAGCCAGACTTTAAAAATAGTCAAAATCAACACAATAAATCTGTCTGTTATAAACACACTGCTGATAACAGCAGATCGGTCAATGAAATATCATAAACAAATTGCATAATACACAAAGTATTAAAAGTATTATTGTATTACCAGTCTACCCGACTCTTTCTCTTGACCGAGTTAGTCGGCTTGGAGGTCACATAACAGATTACAATTGAGGTCAATCACATTGAATTGTTTGTGGTAAACATTGAAGAGGTCAAGGACCTATATAGATAGTGAATACAAATCTAAAGGGTATCCTTCAAGCTCTGACAAACCTTGGCCATTATGCATTGTTAAGTGTCTTCATTTTTTGAGTTCATATTTAATAACTAATAAAGTAATTATTTTATTTTGGTTTACTCTATGGGAAATCTTGTTGACCTTCCTATTTATTCTTGATATGAAATATTATCATTGTTAAATACAAAGTAAAAGAAAATGTAATAGTTTATGAATTGCATGTCAGGTTTGAATAAATTAAGTAATTATACAACAAGGTTTAAAATTGTAAGCAATCAGATCAACAGTACTTAAATATTTTTTGGTATGAAAATTGAATTAAAGGCCATGCATGCCTAAATATATACATATGGCGGAACACCAGACCCATTTTCATTGTACCTCAGGAGTAATACAAACATTTTTTTAAACAAAGGGACATAACTCTATAATTGGGGGAGGACCTCCAATTTATATATACTGTATTTGTATAAAAGGTATCACTTAAATTGATGAAGTAATATGGAAGGAGTAGTGTATTTATTTTTTAAACAAAAGGAAAAGTATTTCTATTAATATGGGAGTTGACTTTATATATAATTCACAAATCATCAGTTAGAATAAAATGCTTATTAACTCATTCACCCCTGAAGACACATTTGAACCCTTCCAATTCCAAGGTTGGAATAGTTCATTATAAAATGTCAGGGGTGAATGAGTTAAGTTTTTTGGTGCAGTACTTTGAGAGGAATAGTGTGAACAAGTCAAACAAGGGGCAGAACTCTATAATGAAGGGAGGGAACATCGCTTTTTATATGTTATTGCCGTTGAGCCCCTCTTTGTTCCAAATGCAAGTATCAATAAAGTATATTGACTACGTCTGAAGTAAATATGTGTAGGAACAATGAGCGGCCTACACACCCTAAATCTAGGATCATGTAATTGGCCATAATGTTTAGAAAGGCAAAGAAAAAATCTAGATATATTTGTTATGGTTTGGACAAAGAAAAAAGATCAGGGCCCATAACATTGAAAGTGTTCAGCTGCAGACCCAGAATTTAGTTTGTAAGTGCTAAGATAGTTTTGCTAGGATATGTACGACCACATCCCCTTTGCATGAGCTGGTGACCAAAAATTAAATGAAAAATACCATCTGCTCGACAGAATATCTAGAACATGTTTAATTAAAGTAATGTGTTGAGTTAACTTGATTGTTATTTTTTTCAGTATAATCCCTCCTGAATTGCCAGAAGATTGTGACCCTATCAGCCACCATCAGAAGCTTAATGAGGACAGTTACAGTACTTGCTGACTTGAATTTAAACATCATGTTTGTTAAGCCCAAAAACCTCTTTTCATTTATGAACAGATGAAGAGGTATAACTGTAAGGGATTGTCCCATTTATATTTTTTTATGATGTGTTTGTATATATATTATTCTATGAAGCAAATTTGAATAAATTTAAATTATCAAAAGTTGGTATCCCATTTAGTAATTGTTAACAAATTTTTAAATATTTTAATTTACATGCAAAAGATTTCATCAGTAATAATTGTCTTCAAGTTACTTCATTACTTTTTATATTATCACTTTGTCAGTGTGTATATCTGTCTATATTATATAGGTTCTAATCTATTTAACTTATGATTATTAATATTTGTACTGATTAAACTAGAAATTAGTAATTGTATCACAATAAAATATTGTTTGCAAAAATCTTGACTAGTTATTTTCTGAAAAAGTTAGCAGGGATAGTAGGAACAACAATGCAAATGACTTAGGTATGCCTTAAGTATGCCTTAGGTAACCCAAATAGTGTACCTCAAATGTGCCTTTTTTTCCCCCTGGGTAGTCTCCTTCAAACTGTGATGAACCAGGGACAGTATATAGAGGGGATTGGCAACTCTGCCCCAGTCAAGAATCTATAGCACGTCGCTTTTGTGTTTGTTCACCGAACCGCGAAGTCATCGAGAGCCCCTCTCGATCAGCCCGCGCTTGCGCACTAGCGTTAAAATCATGTCACCAATCTCGCCGAGATGGGAGAGTTTTGATAATGGTTAGCCCTGATTGGGACTGTGTATTAGTAGGTCTTCTTTTTATTCCAGGGACAGGGCTTTTGTTGCCACTATGTCTAATCTTTCGGCTGTGTTGGTGGCTATTACAACAAATCACATTTCGTAAAGCACGTTCCAGTGAAAATAATGCTAATATTGACACTTTTTGACACAAAAACAGCACAAGTTATTTGTTATTTTTTGCCATAAAAATTAGTACTACATATCAAAAAA